GGGGGGGGGATAGCGAGGAGGGGGATCTTTCCAGCGAGCAGGGCTAGACTCACCCTCAGGGGACCGACACCTTCTTGCTGCGGCGCACCCGCCGCGAGGCGTGCGTAGTGGTGGAATTGGGGCGGCACTGGTGCGTCAGGTACAATGGTGCAGATGCGCGGGCCTCCAGGCCGTCGGTGCAGGCAGCAATGCCCATCTCATCTTTGTGCGCTGAGGCAGACGTCATCAGAAAGGTGGACGGGCACTATATACACGGCCCTAGGTTTGCTAGAGGGAGCTGTACTGTCTCAGTAACCTGGTTTTGCCATCAAAGGAGGAGGGGATAGGTGGTGACGAGCTGATTGGGCTGGTTGACCCTTCGGCGCGAGAATTTTCAGACCGAGAACCCGAAGTGCGACGAGGGAGAAAGCGAGGAACCGACTGGGAAGGACAACAACGAGAGCGTGTCCGAAGCGGAGCGGGTCGAGTTTGTTCGTGCTAGGACTGGCCACAGCGGCACCGGAGCAGCGGAACCGGAGCAGCGGAACCGGAGCAGGTGGACGGCGTCGAACTGTGGCGCACAGACAAACGTCTCTTGTGTTGTCAATTATTTTTCCGTTTTTTCCTGAATACAGGTGTTGGGTGTATGTGATGACGTCACTGGTTTTGTAGAGAGACGCGGCAGAGATGGCGCGGATAACCCGAGTGCCTTAATTGTGTACCTGCATCGTGGAAGACCTCTTCAATGTGGAACGATTCCTAGTCAAGTGTCGATTGAGCTGTGTTTCTTAGACTTTATTTCTTACTTTCCGTAAAAGTTTAAGCCTTTTTTCTTAGTCTGGTTGGTAGCTCGAGAAACAAATCATTCTAGTGGCCAGGATCAGAGATTCGAAATCCGGCGCAAGTGAAATTTTCGTGCAAATGATTGATCTCTCTTCCGTTCCTGGCCTGGGTGGAAACTGCTTCACAGTTGTTGTACACGAAAGGAGGAGAGTGCTGCACTCTTCTCGCATAAAAAATCGAAGGCAAAGTACCGCAGGAGGGGTGGGGAGGGTAGGGGGGCTCAGGGATAGGAACCCTTGTTTGTGACCACGGGTTGTAGGAAACGGCGCAAATGCTGTGAGCGCCGATTTGAAGCTACGACGCAAAAAAAGAACGTCACCGGAAAAATATTACTGTCGTAGGTGGGGTTGAGGTTTTTGGCCTTGGTGACTCGGGTTGACGCCGCGCGGATTTTGTTTTTGCCGCCGGAAGTTCCGGAACGTCGTCCGCCCCCGTAGCGAATAAGCAACAGAGGCAAAGTACAGAGCGCGGCGCCCGCACAAGTTTTCTCTGTTTGGGTACCATAGACTGCAGTATTGATTTGTATACTTGTGTAGGGTTCTTGCCTGAGAGGCCCTGTTGTCATGGTCAAGTTCTTCTATTTGCATTTTTGCCTGCTGAATTAATCTTTCTGTAGTGATTGTGGTGGCGCTTACTCTGGCGTGTTTCAGTTAGCACCGATCACGCTTAACGGGCTGACCAACGAAACACAGTATAGAGGGAAAAGAAACGCACGAAGTGTGTTCGTACGTGTACTCGCATGCAGTAACGAGTCGGACAACACCCATGGTCGGAAGAAAAGGGGCCGTGGATGCACGAAAAGGTATGCATGCAGTGCTTAAGATTTTCAACGACGCATTCTTTTGTTCCGTCCCAAGACACGGACGGAAGGGCGGAGGGTGGAGGGACTCACGAGCAATCCATCGCTCAGGCGTGTACACACGCACGGGAGCACGCGCCACTCGCCGAACCTCCCTCCTCAAAATACATAAGAGTACAAACTCCGGCTACAACATGCACGCGGGCTGCTGTTATTTTTCGCGTTACGTTACACACTATACGAGGATAAACTGTTTGTTATGTGTTGTGTTGAAGCATGTCTATGTCTCAGGCACCAAATAAGCACCCAGACACTTGTTTATGCGCTCACCCCCGCCGCTTCCCGCGCATGCATGCAACGCCCACACATGGTGACGATGACGATGACGTTTGCTACTGCTGGTTTCGAATCGTGATGACACGCGACGATGACTCCAGGGAAGAAGGTCGTGCGCCTGGAGTATGAGGGCTACGTGCCGATGGCGGAGCTCGAGCTCAAGAAAATCTGCGCTCAGGTAATGTACTCCGATTTGCAACACATTTACTGATGCTGTTCCTCTGCACTCTCTATTCTTGAATACCCCCCCCCCCCCCCC